ATTACAAATTTTGCTATTCAAGTGAATATAATAAAACTATTATGCTATTATAAAAATTTTGTAAAGAAAAATTTACTCTCTATTTCAGTAATCACAGTATTATTAAGAATGAGTTAATTTTGGTTTAAATTATTGAAATATCTATAGTGAGTTATATAAAAATTTTGCTAAATTGCATTAAAATTATTGGATCTATATCATGAACTACTATAAAAAATTTTGTTACAAACCTAAAGTTGATTTAGTATTAGAATAATTGTGATTTCTATTATAAATTACTATTATTATACCCTGGTTACTATATCAAAATCGCAGAGTATAAATTAGTTATACCTTGGGCACTATGTGTAAAAGCAGAACTTTAAGCTCTGCTTATACCCAACTACCCAGGATATAACTATTACAAACTCTGTTATAAACTATTCCAGTGATCACATTATGTAGTTATCGCTCTTTTTAATTAATTGTGGCAAATTAAAATGAAATCAGATTAAAATGAAAATTTTCTATTTTTTTAGAAAATTTTAAAATTTTTTAGAAGACTTTTTAGGGTTAGTGTTAGGTTTAAGGTTAGTTTTATTAATAAAAGAGTATAAGTGGGATTTATAAGCTTTAAAAATAATCAAAAAAGGTCTCCAGTTTCATTTTAATCTGATTTTATTATAATAATTACTTGAATTCAAATGTTTTCCCACACTACACTCAGATTATATTTTTTGGATTTGGCTAATGAAAACTGTTAAAGCTTATGAACCCAAAATTAAATAATATTAATATAGATAGATATAGATTAATCAAATGAGGTAGTTAAATTTAATAGATACTGCTGATAAATTGGGTTAATCTATTAGATCAGTAGTTTTAATTTAAAGGATGGATACAGGTGTATTCAGATTGGAGCATTTTTTTAATGCATTTAAGATTAGTATGTAGGGTATAAAAATATTTTATGCAATATGTAGATGAAATTAATATATAATTAGACAGGCTTTGTATAAGGCTTTAGAGTTTTAATTTGGTCATAAATTGATATCAAAAAAAACATCGATGGAGATTTCTTTGAACAAAAATAAAAGTTTTGCTCAAATTTGATGATTACAATTAATCAGCACGGCAAAAAATCTGAAAACAAAAAAACAAAAAAACTTGCAATATGAATCTATCAAAGAATTTTGTATTTCATAATATTTTGATATTGTTTATAATAATATACAGATAAGTTTATTCATTAGTTTTTCTACTGATGCTTAGCTCAGCTTAGCTTGAACATAAGCAAAAGACTATATACAATGTGATAAAAGTTGTAATACAGAAATTTGCTTTTTTTATACAATTTTTTGCTTAAATAAGATATTAATATTAGCTAATTACTGTAAATAGTGTAAAATAAAACTAATTTAGAAAATCAAGTTTCACAAACTTAAGTGAGTCGTTTTATTAAAATAAATAAATTAAATAAATTAATTAAGTGAGTTATTTTACTGTATTAATGATTTTCATATTACAGTATATATACATTATAGTGTTGTGTTTTAGGGTTCTATCACAAAATCTCAAATACTATTTTTCCTAAAAGAACATAATACCGACTAAATTAGCTAGCAATATAACTAATGCTAGTTAACTTTGTCAGCATTAGGCCCTTTCAGGATTTTTGTAGCAAATCTGTACTTGGTTTAGTACTATTAGTTAATAATGAAAAAATTATTAATATGTTATTAATTTAATTATATATTAGTTAATATAATTTCTAACTTGATTGCTGTAAAGCATTTTCATTACAAAACTAAACCATGTACTTACAGTGAATTAAGCTATTAATTTTAGATTGTAATCACTAAAAATTCTGAACTTACTATTCTTGTAACTACAGTATCAGTTGAATTAGTTTACATTGTAATTTCTATCATGATTTTTACTATAAGTAGCTGTGAGGATTCTGTTACAGGCTTGCTATTTTGATTATAACAATATGTAGATATAGTTAAATAAGTTTGCATTGGGTTATTGTAGTTTCTAAAAAATTTTGTTCAGTACCTGCTTGCATGTAATTAAGGCTGCAGAATTATGTAATATAAAAAAGTCTATTAAAAAACACACTTGCTATTCCAGTGATATATAGTACTATATTTCTGCAACATGTGTACCCTGTGGGCTGTACTTTGCAGTAATTTTTGATGCCAAATCTTGATTTATATCCTGTATATAAGTGTGAGATTACCTAGGAATATAATAGTAAACATATTAAAAACATATAACAAATTTAGACATGTTTTTTTCAAATCAAAATTTTAGAAAATCAACAATTTACAAAATTATTTTACTATACATATTGATTATTAATTTATGGATCAATTATAAATAAATAATGATATATTACAATATTAATCATAAAGATGGTCAAATCAGTATTAGAAATCTAAAAAAAATTTTTGTATTTTGAGAATATAAATTTATAATTTTATGTTTTTATAAATTTTTCATATTTTTAATTATAAAAAAAAATTTTTAATACTTTTTTAAAGAGACACCAGAAGATATAATTTAATAATAAAATTTTTAAATAACAACTATATAATATTTTTATATATAACTAAAAAATATAATAAAATTTATTATTTAAAATAGTTATAATACAATTTATTACAAATTATAAATATAAACAAATTATATTTAAAAATATAAAGAGCTGCCCAAAAATCATATACTTGTTAAAAATTAAACTTTTTAAAAAAAGAACCATTAATTTTTATCATTAAAAGATAATTAAGAGTATCAAGATTTATTTGATTCTGAATTTTTTCTTAATTAAATTTTGTTGTGAAAAAACTCTTTCAATAAAGTATTAGAAAGTGGAAGAGTTAAAAAAAGAGAAGCAATTTTAAAAATATTAAGATATAATGATAAAAAATTAGATATATTAAAAAGTTTTAAACAAGCTTTATTTGGTTTTAAAAAAGAATAATTAAGAAGTAAAATCTAAATATATTTTCATTCTTCAATTAATGTTTCTTTTTCAATAAAAGATAAATAATTAATATCTTAAAATATATATTTTATTAAAATTTAAGATTATTTAAATAAACAGCATTGTTAAATTATACCACTAGTATTCAACACTATAATAATTTTTTATTATAAGCTGCAGTGTAATATAAAGATCAGGTATAATGTTTTTTTTTAAAAAAAAAGTATAGCTCAAAATTTACCTATGAAACCACCTTTCGATTTCTAATAAAAAAAATTTCTTACAAAATTTTGGTATAAACTAAGCTTCTCTAGCTTTTAACCCTAATCCTAATCTTAATCAAAATTTAATTTTTGGTTTGATAAAATTTATTTTGATTTATAGTATGATCAGCACTATACATTTATAGTATATTCCCTGACTGATATAGGTGAGCAATATAGAAATATTATAAGATTATAATATAAAAAAACTCTAACTCTAACTCTAACCTAACTTTAATTTAAATTATAACCTCTAACTATTTCCAAATTTGCTTAAATTAGTTCAAATAATTATTTTTATATATTATAATCCTATAATAATTTATTTTGCCCACCTATACTATAGATCAACCAAAATTTTTGTGGTGTTGAACACCACAGATGTGATATATAATTTTTGTAAATAAATTATATAACTTATATTATTATTTACCTTGTAAAAATTTGTTTGAACTATAAAAATATGCAAGTATTATAATTCCTTTATTTCTATACTCATTTAAGAATGTTGTACTTGGTAAATTCTATAAATCAAAAATACAAAAAGCATTAGTAATTTTATGATCTGAAAATCAAATTTGAAGATTCTCAATTGTTGCTTGTACAAATTCTTGTATAAATGATAGAATATCAATTGCTAAAAGATTATTTTTTTTAAAAATTAATATAAATAATTTCTCCATGTAGGTTCATAATTATTTGTTCCTAAAAAATCTAATCTAATTTTTTAAATAACAGTTTTAATTTGAATTTTAATTTCATATAATAATATATAATTAGCTTGAAAAATAAAAGTTAATTATTAAAGATTACCAAGAATATTAGCTAAAATATATGTTGTACAAAAAAAATTTTGATTAATCATATTATATAACATTTTTGCAGTTTTTGATTTTGTATAATCTTCTTTAAATACTTGTACTACTAAATTAATAATTTGATGCAAATTAGAGACAACATTGAATAATAAAAGCCATCATGTAGGTACTATTTTAACAAATAAAGTTTAGGCTCCTCTAAACATGCTTCTACTATTTTTAAATATTCATTCATGAATAAAAATTGCTAAAATAACTATAAAGATTTTGAACTATATTATTATATGTAACAAAATAAGAAATCGCAGATACTGTATTTTTACTTGTTAATGCCAAATGATAAGAAATAAAATGATGTTCTATAAGATATAAATTTCTTTTTTTGAATTGTATAGCAATGCCATTATTACAACCTTATTATATTTAATATAAATTTATATAGCTAATATATTAAATATTTAAAATTTTAAAATTTAATATAATTATCTAACATTACGAATGCACTATCAATTCCTATATTCATTAAACAATTAATTGGCAAATTTTTTGCTTGTAAAAAAGTATTTAACTTATTAACAATTGCATTCACTGTTTTTTCTTAAACTTAATTATTCCCAAATACTGATAAACTGATAAGTTTTTTGAAATATATTTGGATACATTTGCAAGATTTTTATTTATTGTAACAGTATTACTCTTATCAATTATAATACTCCAAACTGGAGATTCTTGAATTTCTTGACAAATAGCAGATGTTCTATAAAATAGGTAGGCAATATAAAAAATAAACTTCACTAATGATTAATAATCATTAATAGATATTTAGCGGAGTCACAGAGTTTGCCCACCTATTTTATAGAACATTCCAAATAACTTCTTTAATATTTCTTCCAATTGTATTTATAAATTCTCGAGCTGTATAAGTATTAGAATAACTTCTATAATCTCATATTATTCTTTTAATAATTCTAATAATGGATGATTAAGAGTATAACTTTCTTCAAAAGTATATTCTTCTTCAAGATTACTCTTAATATAATATTTAGTTAATGAAGTAAAATTGGTAATTTTACAAGTTGCAATAAGATTTTTGGCTAACTAATGAGTATTTATCAAATTTTCTACAACAGAAAAATGATTAACATCAAGTTATTAAGTAAAAGCTTTTTCAAGACCTATTTGTGATTCTTCTTGTGTTTTTATTAACCTTTGACGATCTCTAGTTTGTATATGTCTTTTAATTAATTGCTCTTTAAGATATTTACAACTCATAACGAAGATATTATTAAACTTTGCTGCTTCACAAAGCTTACAAAATAAAGCCTAGCTCTTTTCCTTTTGACCCAAACATAACCAAGAGTATGTTATTTCCCAAGTAGGATTCAACTTAAGATTATTTTTTGCAAGCCAGGCAAATTTTGAATTTGGATTTTCATTATCACTTGAAAGTATATTAGAGTCAGTTATGTCATTTGAGCCAGTTATACTATCTAAACTAGCTAAATTGTCATCAGAACTTATCATGTCTTCAGACAGAATTTTTATTATCTGAAATACTGTTTCTATACTTTTTAGCATTTATTGCAATAGTAAAAGGGTTTTGTAATAGATTGTAAGCACTTTTTTTAGGTTGTTTTTTTTAGTTTTAATTGACTTCATTTTTTTAAGAATTTTTTGTCTATATGATGATTTTTGAATATTAAAATTGAATCGAATTTAATTAAATTAGTAATTTATATACGTATTATTAATACATATAAGTGTTAAATTTAAACCAAATTTGGTTAGTATGAGAGAATATGGTTATTGATCACAGGAACAACATTAATCTATATAGAAATTAAATATACTTCTTTAAAAGTAACCAAAGGAATACATAATTGTACATAAGTAAAAAAATTTATTAATTTAAAATTCCAATTATGTACTTTTGATAATTCTAATTATACTTACAATATTAATAACTATAATTTTAAACTGTAAAGTTTAAATACCAGAAATAAAGTAATACTATAATTTTACGAAGCTGATAGTTATGTACTACAAGATTTGATTTTTATATGCAACTAAATTTGGCAATATGATAGTCTTTTAGTTTACTAATTTTTTTAAAAAAATTATATATTTAACATTAATATATTGTAGTTTTTGGCATACGTATATATGATAATTGATTACTTAAATATAGAAAGATCTACTTACACATTTTAGATTTCTTTATTAAAGATTAGATAACTTACAGAATCACAAGTCAAATTTGTCATTTTAGCTTCTTATATGAAGAAAAACCTGTCATCGGACTTTCTAATATATTTTGTGTATAGTTAACCATTTATGAAAAATCTATCATAATGATAGATTTTCATAGATAGCTAACTGTACACAAATATAATTGAAAGTCTGATGACAGGTTTTCTTAATAGCACTCATAGATGATCACTAAGAATTGAATTGATATGAGTGTTAGTAATTGAAAAAATAGCGTTGGCAGTAAAATTGATTTGATAAATTAATACAATTATGGCATGTGCCGTATTATTAGTCATAATTGTCTTGTGCCATAATACAATAATGTCTTACAGCTATTTTTATAATTTCTAGAACATCTGATAAAAATTAGGTCATTTCATATAAAGTACACATTTTCTGATTTATCTAAGTATTGTCATGCCCCTGTTTGCAGCATAATCTATTTGTACTTTACAGTACTTTTATGGACTGTAAAGTTCTTTGATATTCAAGGTGCAGGTGAATTTTTGCAGTACCAATCAGGATTTGACCCATACTTTGCAGTAATCTAATCATTATCTTAAAGTACTTTAGAGTATTTATATAGTGAAATTAAAGTACTTTAGAGTAGTTACATAGTAAAATTAAAGTACTTTAGAGTATTTACATAGTGAAATTAAAGTACTTACATGGTGAAAGTTAGAAAATGACAAGTTGCCACTCTACAATTCAGCATTTGCGTAATATCAGAATAGAAAAGGCATAGTGAATTTGGCTAACGGTTTTATGTGATCCAGTTATTTTATAGTGCATAGAAACTATTCAATTATATATTCTACAACATGTTGAGACAAAGGGTTTGGATATTTACTATTAACACAAAATGAACTCAGTTTGTCTAAGACAATCAGTCAAATTACTGTATTTACTTTAATAATAGTTCACTAAAGTTACTTGTAGTACATAGAACTTACAGTACAAATTTTTTATTCTTATTTAATAAAGCAATATTGTAAAAATTAACTTAGCGAATATTGTATAAGCAATTTAATAATATAAATACTAAAGCAGTTAAGTAAAGTTAAATATAAGAATTAAAAAAAAGCAAGCAAATAATTTTAATATAGAAGCATAATAGAGCAACTAACTAAAAAAAAAAAAATACTTAAAGATTAAGATCTTTTTTCATTTTTTTAATATTCACTCTTTTTAATTCCAATTCAGCTTCACGCTCTTCTAATTCAAGTTGTTTTTCTCGAATTGCTAAGCTTCTTTCTATTTTATTCAAGTCTGATTTAGAATTTTTTTGTAATTTATTTTTTTTAACAGCTGGCTTAGTTGTGGGTTGTTTTTTTTCTGCAGTAGGATATTTACACTTTCTATTTTCTAAAAAATTAAATTAATAATTATAATCATAATTTATTTAAAGTATTAATATTTTAAATAATAATTACTGTTTCTCTTAACAGATTGAATTGCTCTTGATGCTATGCTATTATCATGATTAGTATAGGGAACTCCAGAAATATTATGTATCTCTTGTGAATGAAAAGTTCTGCGATCTTCCAAATAACCTCTAAATTATAAATAATTAAGTTAATGTTATTTTATAGTATGTTATTGAATAAATAATATTTACTTTTGGATTGCTACTCGAAGACATAAATTAATTCTATATTGATTTACTCGTGCATGACTACTTTCTGCTACATTTGTATCATGCCGAGTAGAATACCATGTATCAATTAGAATATTTGAGAAAGCTGAATTTAAAGAGGCAATAACCCAATCGGTTGAATAAAATTTGATCCATCCTAAAATTTAATTTTTTTAATTTAAATATAAATATATCAATAAAAAAATAATTTAACAATTTATCTTCAAGATTTTTATTATTAATTTTTTTAAGAGTTTCAAATATTTCCTCTATTCGTAATTTTGTTGTAGCTGTAGAAATTTCTATCATTAATCGTTTTATATCATTATTTCGTTTACAATTGTTAATATTTCTAATAAATTAAGTATTGTTATTTAATTTAATTTAAATTTTATAATAAAGTAAATAATAAAAAATAATTTAATTTACCTAAAAAAATGTACTTTGCAACTTTTAAAAATATATACTTTGGTTTAATATTAGCTAATGCTAATCCTAATCCCTTTGCTTGTCTTTGATCTAAATCTCCAAGTATACACTTCCATCCTTTATTGTGAATATAATCAAACATTGGAGACTCTTCTGTTAATATTTTGAAATAATGCCATAAACTTGTAAAAATCCAATAATATGTTTCAGAAGTTGAGGCATTAGTATAAACACATGCATATGTAACACCTATAATTATAGTTTAATAATTAAAACAATATAATTTAATATAATTTATATATTTATTAAAATTAAATAAATAAAATTTTTATACTTTGATTATAGTTTTCACAATAATAATAAATTTCAAATTCATTTATATTTCCTCGTACTCTTTTATATGCCATATCAATTTGAAAATATTCAATATTTTTTCATGCAATTGCTTGACTTTTGTTCATATAAATAATCATTAAACTTCCATCATCAAAAGCACCTATAAATTTAATAAATAATTAATGATAATCAATAAAATAGTAAATAAAATATATATATAGTAAATACCAATTTCTTGTAAATATTCGTTAAATTCTTTGTTACCATTCCAAAATTTAGTTACAATTCCTAACAATCCTTGTCCATAAGGAAATTGTCTTTGTTGAACTTTGCTAACAAGATATCTCAACTTATCCAAATTATTAAATGAAGAATGTATTTTAGTAAAAAGATCTTTACCAAAATATGCTTTTAATAAATTACTTGACATAATTTTTTGTGGTGTAACTTTTTCAAATATTTGTGTTGCTTCATTAATTATATGTTCCAAGTTTATTTGAATTCCAACTGGAATATTAGTTGGAGGTGGTGGCAGATGAGTATGAATTCTCTTGCAAATTAAAACAACAAATAGTGTTGTTGTTATATCTAAAGGAACAAGTTTAATAAATTGAACATTGCAATTCAATTTAATAATTTTTCTTTTTTTTTTTATCCCTTCATTAGATAAATGAAAAAATGCTTATAAAATATTATTAAAAATTAGCTATAAATAAATATTATAAATTAAAAAAAATATTAAAATAATTATTTACTTACAACATTCTTTTTTACAAACACTTGTAGATAATACTGTACGACAATTTTCTACTACTTTATTAAATGAAGTAATCTAAAAAAAAATTTAATTTATATATTAATTAAAAATATTATAAATTAAGTAAAATTTTATTTTTAGCTTACTGGTTTTCCTCTAAACAACTTTCTAACATTGTAATATCAATTTCATCACAATTTAATTTATGATGAAAATGTCTTTGTCCTGGAGACCAAGCTGAGCATCCAATAAAATATGATGGAATATCATTATCTGATTTCTTTCCATAACGACAAACTTGAGCTCTGCCTGCACATGTTTCAAAATTATATGGACATTGAATATTCGCAAATGCCATATATTTTTTATAATTAATTTAATTAAAGTAAAAATTAATTAAATTTAACTAAAATTTAAAAAGTTAATATTATATAATTCTTACGCATGTGTTTTAGCTTCTTTTGAAGTTTGTAAATCAGTAGGTTGATTTAATTTATAAAAATCAATACTTT